GGGACAGTGCAGGTCACTCCTTAGAGTTGTCCACACCAGCACAAGGGAGCTGGAGGGTTGACACCGCCATACTCATCTGTCATTGGTTAAGGGCCACCTGGGGTGTAATCTGGGGTGTCAATTCCCAGGCTCTTCTGGTTTTCCATGCTCACAGGCAAAGCAGGCTCTGAGGAAAGGAGAAGCAGGTGCTAGCTATTGGGAATGAAAGCCCACTGGGAGCTGGTGTGTGAAAATGCTAAAGGGACAGGAGGACATGAGTGTGTCACTGGCAGTGTGGCTACAGTGGCATGAGCTGTGAGGACATCTGTTGTTTTCTTAAGAAATGTGGAGGTAGGTGGTCCTCAGATTGGTTCAGGATGGGTCATCAATGTCACTGAAGACTCAGCTCCCAATAGCCTTCCTCAGCATGCTCAGCCTCATGGCCACAAAATGGCTGCTGCAGCACCATGTCTCATGTCCTTAATGGAGAGCATCTAAAGCAGGTAGCAAAGGGAAGGCAGCAGCAAAAAAGCTTTCTCCCCATGTGACTCTCTCCGAGGAGGAGGAAAATCGTTGCTGACTGCACCAGCTCCAGACCAGTCACCAATAGAGGAAAGTTGGGTGGCTGAGGCTGCCTTAGGTCAGTTGTTCACTCCAGGTGCTGAGCACCCATGCAGTGGGGTCCTGCTATCAAAGGGGAGGTGGGGCAATGGCGGCTGGTGGGGCAGCCAACAGTGTCTGCCACAGGACATCTGTCTTCCTCTTCTGGGAATTATACCTGCCTGTGAGATTTGTGGTGAGGATTAAATGAGATCACATGCATGTGAAAGGCCTTTATAACTCGCCAAGGATAACAATGCTGATTTTAATTGCTATTTGAGCCCCTGCTGTTTCTTTTCTATCGCACTTAGGGGCCACAGCTGACTCACCCTAACTTCTGTTGACTCTACCTCTAAATAGCCTGCAACCCCGCCCACTCCTCTCCATCTCTGTCACCCGCCTAGTCCAGACTGCCACAGCCTCTGTCGCTGATAGCTGCAAGCACTTACTAACCCATTGCCCTGTTTCCATTCTGGACTCCCTCTGAGTCTTTCTCCCACAGAAGCCTGAAGGATCTTTGTTAAGACAAAAATCCATTTGAATCACTCCCCTGTTGGAAATCCTTCCAGGCTCAAAAATAGGAGAGATGTTCAAAATAACTACTGGTCTGGAATAGGCCCTGGGCAATCAGGATGGGCACCAGCCTCGGCAGCCGTGCCAGCACACCCTCCCTGAATATCAGCCCTGTTCTGGTGGCCCTGGAAAAGCTGGCCTCTGCTACCCCTCCAGCCAGTCTTCTCTCTGGAGACCGAGCCTGCTTCCTGCACCACCCGCCTCCACTGCCTGATGCGGCTCTCTTGCCAGGCTTTAACTTCTCGCTGTTCCCCAAATGTCTGACATATAGTAGGTGCTTAATAAATGGTGGTTGTGCCCTCGGATGATCAGCACTACCACTGCCACCACCACCGTTACTGCCACCTCCACCAGCCACCAGCACCACCCTTTGCAGTTGTAGGAACCAGGCAAGAACACAAATTGGATACTACATATCATATCCTAAAGATTTAACGTTATAAATCAAACTAACATGAATATGTTCTATCTTCCTACCTTGACAAATACAACTTCTTAAGGACCTGGAAGGCCAGGTTCAAATTTTCAGTCTTCTGACTTCTCGGAATTCTTTGCCAGAACTTGGAAGCACAAGGAGAGCCGACCCTGGGCCCCTGGCTGCCAGCTCTTGGCCAAAACCTCTTCTCTCTGTGTTCTAGCTCTGTTCTGTACTGGGAGGGGCCCCAAAACACACATGTGGACACCCCAGGCTGCATGTCTGTGGTGGTTCTAACACATGTCCACAAATGATTTTATGCTCCTCACATTGAAAGGTTAGTCCCATGTCTCCACCCCTTAAATCTGAGTGGGCTTAAATCTGAGCTGGCTGTAACTCATTTGTACCAATAGAATGAAGCAGAAATTATGCTGAGTGACTTCCAAGGCCAAGGCCAGAAAAGGCAATGCAGCTACTGCTTTGTTTACTGAGATATGAAAACCTACTTTTGGAGCCCTGAGCCACTCTGCATGAAGTCCAACTGCTCTGAGGTCGCCATGTTGTGAGGAAGCCCAGACCACATGGAGAGGCCACACACAGATGCTCCAGTCAATAGCCCCAGCTGGGCCAACTACCAGAAACAACAGCCAGTCAGTAAATGATGACACCTCCAGATGATTACAGCCCCCAGCCATTATGGAGCAGAGACAGTCCATTCCCATTGTGCCCTGTCTGAGTTCCTGCACAGAAATCATGAGCATTAAAAAATAGTTGTTTTAGGCTGGGCATGGTGGCTCACTTCTGTAATCCCAGCACTTTGGGAAGCTGAGGATGGAGGATCACTTGAGGCTAAGAATTTGAGACCACCCTGGACAATATAGTGAGACCCTCATCTCTACAATATATATATATATATATATTTTAAAAATAGCTGGGGTGGCATGTACCTGTTGTCCCACCTACTCAGGAGGCTGAGATAGGAGGGTCTTCCTATCTCTTGAGCCCAGGCGTTCAAGATTACGGTGAACTATGATCATACACTGTACTCTAGCCTGGGCAACAGAGCAAGAACATGTCTTTTTAAAAAAATAGTTGTTTTAAGTTGTTAAGTTTTGGGGTAATTTGTCATGCACTGAAAGTAACTGGAACATGTCCAAGTTTTATCCACAACCCACCTCCCCCCAGCCCCAGCAAACTATCCCTCAGGCTCAGAGCACAGACCTGAAGAAGAGGACTGCGTAGTCCTAGAAGCAGACTTGGGGAATTTGGGCAGGAAAATTCCAGGATCCTAGGTTCCCAGAGTGTGGTCTAGAGCAGGGGTGGCAATGCACCCGGCACGATCCCATGGACTCCTCGTGCTTTGAGTGTAACTGAGAGAGGGTCCGAGTGGGACCCTGCAGAGGGCATGGCCTGGGGTGGGGGTCTCTCTCTCTTGCCTGGTCTAAGGGTGGTCCTGCCCTCCACCACCACTATCACCACCTACTAATACCAGCACCAGTGATGCAACCATCCTCTGTGTCCAGCTGTGTCCTCACAAGTCCCCAGTCTGGTGAGGAAAAAGTGACATAAGCAATGACAATATAGAGAGTGACGAGTACTCAAAAGAAAGCACAGGGGGGCTGTGAGACCCCATGCTTGGGGGTGGGACAGAGGGTGTCAGAGAAAGCTGCCTGGGGGAGGAGACACTTAAATGAAGTTCTTAAGGAATTATCCAGGTGAAGTGGAGAAATCAAGTTCCCATCCTTGGAAGCAGCATGGTGAGAGGCCTGGCAGCAGGCAGGAGTGTGATGGAGACTGCATTATCCTAGTACAAATTATGACACGTAATCTCCATTTATGTCCTTGCCTTGGCCCTGAAAATGTGAAGGGTGGTCCTGGGGTAGGCGTGACCATGATAATGGTCATTATCCAAGGGCTCAGTGACTATTTATTGAGCACCTACTATATGTCAGCAGTCAACCACATCTCACTGCTGTTGCCTTTACATCACTGTCACTCCTCCTTCCTTCGTTTCCTTCTGCAATCAGCAGGTACTGAAAGCCTCCCGTGAGCTACAGACTGTGCCAGTGGCTGAAAAGGTGGAGATGGTCTCTGGCTCCAGACACTTGCTGTCCAGTGGGAGAAAGGCTCCTAAACAGATCGTCGCCGTACAAAAGGATGAGCTCCACTGCAGAACAGGGCTGCGGAGGCTTTGCCAGGGAACCTTGGAGGATATGCTGGAATAGTATGGGCAGAAAATAGGGAAAGACATTCTAGAAAGAGGGAACAGCATGTAAAAGGTGTGGAAGAGAGAAGAGAGGGCACAGGCTTAAGAAATGATTCCAGGTTATAGTAGTGGCAGCCTGGGAATAGGGATCTCTTTGGTGACCACGTGCTTGTTACCCTACCCACGTCCTTATTTTGGGGTGCTGCTCTTCGCTACTCTAATCATATGATTCCTGTACCTCATCGCTGACTATCTAAGGCTGATTGTGTATCACCCGACATGGACCAGAGCCCCTCCCTAGAGCATTTCTATTGGAATTGGGAGGGGACAGCCTTTGTACTCCATACGGTTGGGGGCCATTAGGCTGCAGCAGTGCATGAGAAGTTGTCTGCTTCTTGGAAGAGTTGGCTGGAAAGAAAGAGTTGCTGATATTCAGGTGCAACAGAGTTGAGGATGGAGAGAGAATATCTTGACGGTGTCTGACCCTGTGATTCAGGTCTTCCTGGATCCATCCCAGCCTGGTGAGGTGGTGCAGCAGGCTGGGCTCTGGGGTGCCACTGGGGGATAAAACAGGGAGAGTGGACTGAAGAGGCAGCAGGAGCCAGATCCGAAAGGGTCAGGAGAGGGAGCTTTGGTGTTATCCTGCGGGCAGTGGAAAGTCATGGAAGGAAGGGCTTAATGAGGGAGAAGACATGGTCAGATTTGTGGTTTTGAAAGATCATTATGGGCTGGTAGACAAGACTGTCTGGGGAGGGGCAAGGGTAGGAGAGGAGAGGCTGGAGGCGGGGACCTGTGACAAGGTCGATCTCCTCTTCCTCAGCCCAGACGTCACAGGGCAGGGAGGCCCAGACTTCAGAGTCAAACCCATAAGTTCCAATCACAGCCCCAACTCTCAGTTGCTGTTTGACTTTGGATGAGTAACGTGAGTGCTGACTTGTGCCAGAGGAAGACAAAGGTGGAACTGCGGAAGAAGTCAGATTTCATGTGGTCATTAAAACAGTTTTGAGAGGGGATTCAGAGATCCAGGTTCTAATTCTAGAAAGTCTGAGAAACGCCCTATACATAGAAACCTATGGCAGCCCACCCAGCTTCCAACCTCTGCCAACCTCCTACAGCAGTTCCTGCTCATCTTCCATGAACTGACTCGATGGAGGACAAGGCAGGAAGGGGGTGTCTTCCAGAAACCAGGGTGAAGGGAAGAAGGGGAGCTGAGGCAGCCCTAGAGAGAGAGAGATGCCATTGTGCCCGGTGGGGCCCCAGGCCTTCCCTCACCCCCAGGCCAGCCCCAAACCACAGGCCACGTCCTGTTTCTCAGAAATGCTGCCATTTCCCAGAGCCCAGGGTTCGTGGGGGGACAGAGGGAGGTGGCTTCACAGCTGCCAGAGGAGGAGGAAGCACCCCCAGGAAACCTGGGGGCCAGGCCTGGCGTCACAATAGGACGATCAAGTTTAGGACCAGGAAGCTACCTGGGAAAGCCAAGTGGCATACAGGCTCAGGCCCAGGCCAGCTGCGCCTGCCCCAGCCCAGAACCTGGCCCCACCATGCTCTGGGACACACAGGATTCAGAATCATAGACCTCAGCTGGAGTCCAACTCCTCCATGTATTATCGTGTGACCTCGGTCAGTCACTCTAGGATGTAGTCTATAATCCCACCTCACTGGCTTGTCCTAGGGATCAGATGGGACAGTAGATTTGAAAGTGTCTTGTTAACTAGTGGCCAGGACGTCACCACCTCAGCCAGAGCCCACGCTGTGCCCAGCGTGGCCACCAAGCAGGACAGTGGATCTCCTGGGACTCGCTGCTGGAGGCTCAGGGAGCTCGGGGGCAGAGCTGGGCGGCTCTGGGAGACCACTGTCCCCTCCCCATCCTCACACTCAAGGGGAGGGAGGTGAGCCAGGGTCGCATAGCAAGTGAGTGGCCCTTGAAGAATGGATTTTAACTCATCCCTAAACCTTACCTTGCTCCATCCTCACTCCTGTTTTTCCTACTTGTCCCTCTCCTGTGGCATCTTCTCATCACCAAGACTTGCTTCAATCTCTCCCATCCAAAATGCTTCTCTTCCAAGCTGTGTGCCCGGCCTGCCATAGCCTCTCCTTTACTGCTGGATTTCTGAAGGGACTTGTCTGCTTCTTCCCTTCCCAGAAACCACCTCGGCACCCCAAGCCCGGCTTCCACCTCTCGGCTATCCTGACATTGCTCGCTGCCATGGTCACCAGAGCCTCCTTGTCCCCACAGAGGACGCTTTGTCTGCCTTGTGGCACTCTCAGCCCCCAACTCTCCTGCCTTTTCCTCTTGCCTCTGTGCTGTTCTTTGCTGGTGCTCCAGGTTCTGTTCTTTTCCCTCCTGTTTACCCTCCGTCTCTGCCAGGCCAGCATCTCCCCGCTCCTGGCTTTAGTTACCACTGCGGGTCAACAGCTGGCAACTCCCTGTCTGTAGCCCAGCCTGTCTCTCGACCACGACAGGCCCGGAGGGCTGTGGATAGCGCCTGAGACTCCAGATGTGCTCAGCTGCAACGCCCGGGCTCCACTCCCCAAGGTGCCACCAACTGAGACACCAGGTACACACTCGACTCCTCCTCCAACCCTGCGTCCAGACAGTTGTCCGCTCTGCCTGCCCTAGGCCTCTCTGCCACCCAGGCCATTGCTGTCCCTTACATGGGTCCCACACCAACCCCTACCTGGTCTCAGCCTCACTCAGCCACCCCAGTCTTCACCTGGCTGGCAGAGCCCCTTTCCGACCACAGATTGACCAAAGCCCTGAAACCCTCCCAGGACTCCCTGCTGCCCTGGGTGAAGTCAGAGCTCCTCAGGGGGGTGTCAGCCTCACGTCCCTCTGCTCTTGGCTTCCAACTGCCATCCAGCCACAGTGAGCTACCTGTGATCTTCCCATAATCTGCTGTTTCCCATCTTTTACCACATTTCTTCTTCCTATGCCATCACTTTGTGCTTGGTATGGTTGGGCCCTCTCTATCTCCCTCTACGTCTTTCTCCACCTCCTGCCCATCCTTCGGAGGCTGCTTTTGGGTCCTTGGTATGGGTTGGGGGCTGTGCCCCCCATGGTCCCTGCCCTCACCACTCTCAGTACTCGGGTGCTACCACATGTCTGTCTCCTCTGTGTCCTCCTCCAGACCTGTGGCCCCAAAGGACAGGAGGGGCAGTGCTGGCTCCTTGCACAGTGTTGGCTGTCTAGCATAAAGCCTACCGCAGAGTAGCTCAGACAGTGTTTTATGCATGAATACACGGCAGGAGAAGACAACGGATAGTGGTATCGAACCCTGGCAGAGCTTTGTGCTTACACACTCGGCAGGTCTGGAGGGTTGGATGTGCTGAGCATGCGCCCCGTGGTGGAAAAGCGGACGTCACAGCCTCATGTAAGCCCACCAGGGAAACCAGGATGGCAGTTAGGCTGCAGCAGCAGGAAAAGTATTCAGGGAAGTCCATTCCTGTCCTGGGATCACGGAGCCCTGCCTCCAACCCCGTTTCCTAGCAGAGGGGAGGGGCTGTGGTGCCGGGGGTAGGGGTGGGGTGGGGGTGTCAGGGAAAGTGTCACTGAGAGGAAGACATCTGAACCAGGCTGGAGGACGACCAGAGCATGTGGACGGTCGTGCGCTTTGCATGGGGCTGCTCAGAGCCCATCCGTGAGTTGCAAGTTAACCCCCTGGTGAGCCAGCCAGGCCAGAACAATGAGTCTTCTGGAGGGGGACAGGCAGAGGCTGTGAGGGGGGGCCCCAGGAGCTGGCAGAGGGAGTTTGGGAAGGGTGACATCTATCCCTGCTCCGTGAGGGCGGCATTGGCGGGATGCTTGGCAGACTTCCTGGGCCTTAGTTACCCTAGGTTCAAGACCAAGGCTATGGAGACAACAGCCAGGGCCCTCTCAGTGGCCGCGTTAAGTTTGGCCAACAGGCCACTGTCCACCCTTTCTCTGGGGCTTCCAGTCGGGCTTGGGTGGGGTGGGGGTGGGGAGCCGTGGCTGTGGGATGGTGGAGACCTGCTGTGCTGGGGAGAGGGCCCGCCTGGGAGGCAGGAGGCCTGAGCCCCCACCCAGCTTCACAGCTCATAACTGTGAGGCTTTGGGGAAGACATTTGCCAACACTGAGCCTCCGTCTCCTCCTCTCTAAAATGTGGGTAATTCCTACACTGCTCACCTTGAGCGAAATCATGGGCGTTGAAGCATCTCTGAAATTCTAAGGACTTGTACACATGGGCAGGATAAATTATTGGTGGTGTTTTTAATTGTAACTGTTAGGCCTTCTTCTCAAAGCATGGTGCCAGCTTGGCAATTTGACTGCAAGTCTTGGAAATCCTCTGGGGTGAGGATATTTGGGCTTGTAACATTAGTCACAGCACGGAACTGGGGAGGGAGTGCTCGCCCCGAGCAAGAGACCTGGCTTCTAACTCCAGCTCTGCTACCAACCAGCTCCATGGCTTCAGGCAAGTGACTGCTCGCTGCTCCTCCCTGCACTCAGTTTCCTCTTTGTAAATGTGGCCAGCAGTGGTGAGGACTCTGGACTGTTTGCCGGGAAAGGGCTTTGGGGCTCCATTTTCCATTCCCCGGCTAACTGTCATCAGTCTCAGTGCCAAAGAGCTGTGGGAAGGGGGCTGTTTGTAAAAGCAGGGCGTGCCACAGTTGGGGGTCTGGGGACAGCAGAAGGGCACTATGCAGACAAGGGCCTGGGGCGAGGGAGGCTGCGGGAGCTCACTGGTCCAGGGCCGACTCACTGTGAAGACTGGGGCCAGGCTCTGCCCCTTCAGATCTCAGCCTGCACCCTGTGAAATGGGCATCACCAGGCCTGCCCTGCAGAGTCCCTGGGAGAGCATGCAGGAGACAGGATACGAACACAGCAGACAGGGTTGGGGTAATGCAACTTCTTATTTATTAATATATAATAACAAAAAAGATAAAGCTCATTTCTGCAACTGTTTAAGTCTTTGTTATAATGTCTTGGTCGCTTTGTCTGGGCTGGCCGTGACCTTCAGCTCCGGGGTCTGGGCTAGGAAGACGTTCCAGTGACCTGAATGAAGGAAGGTAGAAGAGAGGTGTGTGTGTGTGTGTGTGTGTGTGTGTGTGTGTGTGTGTGTGTGTGTGCATGTGTACGTATGCACACCAGAGGCAGTGGCTGGGGGTGGGAAAAGCTTAGGGCAAGAAGGAACTGTGTGTGGCCAGGGAGCCCAAGGGAGCATGGAGGTGAGTGTACCCTTCATATAGTTCTGGCACATGGCCCAGCCCTCAAGCAGCCAACCTTTGTGGGGCAGGGCTGGCTTCCTGACACCTGTTGGGAATACTCACCCCACCCCCCAAGCCCTTCCTGGGTCCATCTTCCTAAGAGTAACTTAGAGCAATTGCAGGGTAGCAGGAGGAAAGGGGTTGGGAAGGTTTCGGTGGAAGTGTTCCCACAGAGAGGGAGTAGGTAGCAGCAGGTTTGGGGGGCTCAGGCCTCTCCCCTACAGTCCTGTCTCCCCCACCCCCGAGACCAAGTCCAGCCAGCTCTGCTTCACCTTCCCGCTCGCTCCCGAGTTGGGAAATCTCTGGCCCAGACGCCCACTGGATTCCTGTGCTGGGAACTGACGTCTGTGGCTGACACCCCCCCCCCCCGCCACCCCCTCGCGGCACCAGCAGCCTGGGAACGCCCGGAGAGGCTCTAGCCTCTTCCCCAGGCCCCGCTCCTCAGCCCAGGGCCCTACCTTCGTGGGTGCCAGCGAGCAGCCGGAAGTTCTGCGCCTCTCTCTGGAAGTCTTGCTTCCTGACTTTCTTGATCTGAATCAAGTGGAAGATTCCTGAGGGCAGAGAAAGGGGCATGAGCAGGAAAGGCAGGACCGTCTGTTGGTGACACAGAGTGACTTAGACACTGACCAAAGCACCTCCCTCCACTGCCCCCGTGCTCATCAGGCACCAAATCCTGCTGATGACGTTTCCTAAAGACTTCCACTCTCTTCCCCTGTCCCACTGCCGCTCTGCTCACTCAGCCCCTGTTATCTGGTCACTGCACTAGAGTCCTCACCCCTTTCACTCCCCCATAACCCCCCATCCTAACTGTGGTCACTCCACTGTGTGTTATCCTGTCATTGTGCTTCCCTGACCTCCTGGCACCTCCACAGTGAGGTCCATGTTGTCTGCTGACCTGGCTCCTGCCACCAGCACCGTCCTGCTCTCTCAGCACTCACCTGTCCCCAGAGGAGGAAGGAAGGAGGACAGAAGGGAGCGAAGGAGGTTGGCTGGCTCATATGGACTCGTCAAGCTTTTCTCCGGGCACAGACCGTGCGATAAAAACCAGTAGTTGTGCTTATTCAGACAGCACAAACTGCAAGTGTGGAGTGACAGTGCCTTGCCTGTGCTCCAGCCCTGACCAAATATTTGTAGTCCCCTGAAGATGCAAAGCCTTTACAAATGCCACCCCCTCTGCTGGCATACCTTCTGTTGCCTTCTACTTCTGCTGTTGCCACCAAGTGAACTCCTACGGGTCCTCCAAGCCTTAGTTACTCCTTGGGGCACCCACAGCACTTGGCTTCTGTCTGTGATTGTACCTAGTTCTAATGGGCCATCACTGTGTCTAGTCCTGGCTCGCCCACCAGACTGGGAACTCCTGGAGGGCTTTCCTCTGGGTCCTTTGAGCCTGGCCCACATTAGACATGTAGAATGAATGACTCCCTGGATGGATAGGTGGATGGATGGACAGACGGATGGACGGATGGACAAATATATGAGTACCCAGTCCAGGCCAGGCCCTGAGGGGGAATGAGGTATTCTCTGGATCCCCTGATGTTTGCATCTCATGAGGATCTGGCCACTAACACCACACGTGGCCCTGAGGACTTGAGCACATGGGCTATGAGGTTGCACCAGCTGTTACCCACCAAGGTCTCTGGCCAGAAAGAACAGATACAACAGCAAAGCCTCTGCTAGGTCAGCACTACCTTCAAGAAAACCAAGAACTGGCCCTGCTTATGGGAATCAGAGTGGGGTCCCAACAAGGGGCACAAAAAGCACTGATCCTGGCACTGAGTTCCAGGAAGTGTCCAGCACTGTCCTCAGAAACCCCCCCCCCAAGATTCCAAGGACCAGGACATAGAAGAGACACCAAAGACCCAGGGGCGACATCACAGTGGCAGGCAGCAAACATGAGATGAGATGGGGACAGGTCCTTCTGCACAGGCCTGCCACTGCATGCTCCCCAGGTCACAGAAAAATGGGAGAGGAGATGACAGGGATGAGGGTAGGTCTGTAAAGCATAATTGAAAGGACTGGGCTCTTTGGCCTGGAATGAAGAGCTAGCCTGAGGCTCACGGTTGTACTTCTTTCTCTTTGCAGGGCCGAGGGCAGCTGGGCTCTGTGAATCCCCAGGGCAGAGCTGGCATCACTGGGTGAGCCCCAGGAAATAGCACAGGCTCAGCTCAGTGTGAGGACACGCCCCCTCTGGGCTGAGCCGTTCCAGTGTTGGGGTGTTGGGTGTTGGAAGTGAGTGAGTCACCTGTCTGGGAGTGGGATTGCAGTCAGGGGCCAGGCACCGTTAGGAGGCTGCAGGGGGACTTCCTTCCTAGCCGGGGCTTGGAATTAAAACCCTTGAGGTTCTTCCTACTCTGAAACTTTAGCATCTAAAAGGCCCTTAACCCTAAGCCAACTCTCTGCTCAGATTCCGGTGCCTGTGGCTGGTCCCGCTGTGGTGTGGCCTCACCTAGCATCTGCCTGCTCGCTTTGTCTCAGTCCTCCCAGTGGGCAACGGTGAGCAGTTCCTATGGACCCTCAGTCTGGGGGAGCAAGTGTGCAAACTCCCAAGGTCTGGGACAGGGAGGGGATGGGGAGGCTGACGGTACATTTAGGCAGCCAGGGGTCAGGAGAAGGGGCTGGTTTGCTAGTGGCAGGATGGTAGGGCCCTGCACTGTGAAGTTGAAGAGTCCTCCCAACCTTGTTTCCTTTCTGCTGGGACTGGTGACTATGAGATTGGCCATGAGCTACACCCCCTCTGTGCCATCCCGGCACACCTTGGCCTTCCTCAGGCACTTCCCTAAAGGCATAAGACCACCTCTGTGGAGACAGCACTGGGGACAGTCAGACCTGAGTTTGAATCTTTGCTTTACTGTTTAAACTGTGTGACTTTAGCAAGTCATTTGACCTCTCAGTCTCAGTTTTCTTATCTGCAAAATGGGGGCATTAATACATACCCCTTAGGTCTCTCATGAGGATTAAATAGGTACATTATATACAGTGCCTGCTACATGCAAGTCACAGAGCACGGGGCATAGGAGTGTGGGCTCTGGGACCAGAGTTTGAGGCTGTCATTGCCATCCTGCCTGTCACGTACCCCTTTTGCCTCTCTAAATCAGGGAGGCCCATCCTCCAAGAAAGCCTTCGCTGACCAGCTCTGCTGCACCAGGGTCACTAAGCCCTACACTCTTAAGGACAGATGCTGGGGCCCATTACTCTCTGTGGTCCCAGCACCTGGGGGATCAGGGAAGGCCCAGAGTAAACGTGCAGCCAGCACCTGCCCAGGGACTGATAAAAACTTGTAAGGGCTACTGACTCTATCTCCCTAGCTGCATACAGAATACCCCTGCCAGCCCTTGCTTGCACACTTCCTGTTTGTGGGGCTCCCTCCCTCTCTTCCACTGTAGGAAGGCTCTAAGTATGAGAAAGTTCTTATTGAGCTGAAATCTGCCTCTCTGCAATTCTAACCAACCTGATGTGGTGGGATGAGAAAGACATGTTTAGTGCCCACTACACGTCAGGGGCTATACCTATGTCATTTCATTTAATCCTCCAAAACCCTCTTCCCCAATTAACAGAAGAGAAAACTGAGACCCAGAGAGGTCATGTGATTGCCCAAGGCCACACAGCTAAGAAACAGCAGAGCCAGGATTTGAACCCAGGTCTGCTCGATTGCAAAGCCCCTGCTTATTATTTGACCCTTGTGGTCACTTAGAACACGGCCACTCCCTCTGCCTGGGGCAGCCCTTCGGAGCCGTGAGCCAGCAGTCCTGGCCCCCTGAGTCTTCTCTTCTCCAGGCTGAACAGCTCCACTTTCTTCATCCATTCCTCCTACGACAGGGGGCAGAGCAGAGCAGGGAAAGAGCCGCATCTGACGTCACAAGACATGGGCTCTAGCTCCCGTCCTCCACTTACTGGCTGTGTGGCCTTGGGCCAGGTACTTCACCTCTCTGAGCCTCAGTTTCCTCATCTGTAAAATGGGGATAATAATACCTAACTCTCAGGATCGTTGAGGATCAAATGAGATAGTGAATGTGAAAGCACTTTGTCAACTCTAAAGTGCTGCACACATTGCTTATTATTGTCATTGTCATCATTCTTATCATCATTCCCTCTTCCACCTCCCCTCCCCCCAGCCAATCCCATCAGTAGAGGAAAGTGACACTTAATGAGTTTAGTTTGGATAGTGGCTTTCATGTTTCACTCTACCCTGGAGATTTATGTTTTCCAAGAGATTTATGTTTTACCAAGAAAACTCTCTTGACCTTTAGTTGGTGATATGAGTGGCCTGTTGAATAGGGCGAGTTTCTCACAGGATGAGAAATATGTTATGATGTCACCTTACCTTGCAGTGACGAGACCCACCACTTAGAAAAGGCTGAACAGACTAGCCCCAGGGGCCTCCTGCCTTGAGGGCCCGCCTGTCTGGCAAGCTGTCCCCTCACAGAGTGCAGAGAGCTTGCACTAGCCACCCGTTCCTACACCAGGGTAGCATTACCCTGCCTGGCTCCTCGCAAGGTGCAGTAGTGCCTTCACCCCAGGAGAGGGAGCACTTTGAGACCTTGGCGTGTCAGAGTGAGCGAGCTTATCACAACTGTCCGAGTCACAGACAAAATCTCCGTCTCCCGACATCTTGGAATCAGGGACTCTTAAACCCGGAAGGGCGGCCAGGGATACCTGACCAACAAAATGTCCCTAAGGAGCACAGGAAGGGGGACAGGCCAGCGGTACACCCAGCTGGGAGTGGGCCAACACCTACCTTTCACCAGCTTCCAGAGGTAGATCTCCACCTGGTCAGAGGCCTCGTGCTCAAGGGCAAAGCGATGTAGGTTGTCTGGGCCGGGGGACACGGATGTGTGGACGAGGACTCGGCCCGGTGCCTTGGGACACCTGGTGGAACTGATCTCACTGTGGCCAGGGTCTGCCTTGTCCTCTGGGAGAGACAAGAAGCTAGTGAAGTGTTCAGTAAACACCGGCTATTCCTCTTGAAAGCCCTAATATTTTAAAATTTTATGACTTCATGGAATCCAGAACATTATTTGTTTCTGTCAATATTTTTCAAGTCTGACATTTTCCACTCCTGTGCTTCTAACAACTCATGCATCTACAAACCCTGCATTCTGTGGCTCTGAGTGCATGCCCTTCCATGTCTGAGACGTTCCAAGTATCTGCGGCCCTGGGGACAGAGGCCAGGGCTCACTCTGGCCAGTCCCTTCCCTGCCCCCAGCACCCCTTCACACCTGGGCAAATCTTGCAGCACTTGCCAGCCACTTTCTCAGGATGACGGCAGGGGTACTCGGTGGGGCAGTTCACACGCTGGCAGTCCTGGCGGCCATCCTGACAGGTGCACAGGATGCAGGGCAGGGGGCCGAAGGAGCGAAAGGCTGGGTGCCACACCTCCCCATGGGAGTACGTCTTCCCGCCATGCACGCAGGCTGGAACAAGGAGGGCAGGAAGGGAGGAGGGTCAGTGTCAGGCCTGGCCAGAGCCTCTGGTCCAGCAATGGGCAGGGTGGGCCCTTGTGGGGCCCCCACAGCACTAGTCTAGTCCAGCCACACCGCTGGCAACGTGAAGGTCAAGGTATAAACCTGTCCCCTGTCCCTCCTCCCTGATATCCCCCACCTCTGCACTCAGGGCTGAGATGGGCCCAGCAGGAACTTGCTGAGTTTGGAGCGTCCTCCCTGCCCTTCAGGGCTGCTTCTGCTGGAGTAAGGAGAGCACTGGCCTGGCAGGAGAACTGAGGTCAACTTTTGTTACCACCTGGCCATGTGAGCCCTGGCAGGTCCCTTTCCCCTTCTCTGTCTCTGGGTCCCATTTGTACAAAGCGGGGCTGGGATGAGGCAGCCACATGGCTCCTTCTTCCCCATCAGCCAGGGTGCCCTGCATGAGGCCCCCCCTGCACCCCTTCTACAGCCATGGCTGCCCCTCATCCCTCCGTCCTCCTGCCCCGGCTCTGCTCCCTCCTTCCTTTGTCAAAAACTCTCCCTCAGCACTTCCTTATGTTAATTTATTGACACTGTCTTCTAGGAGCCCCTTGAGGGGCTGTTTCCTCACCTGTCTTTTCTGTCTCCCCCATTTCCCTGCAAAGACATGGCAGATGCTCAAAAAAATATTGTACTGTTCCAGACCTGGCTCTATCTCTAACTCAGTACTTTGAACCTCAGTGTCCTCGTCTGTAAAATGTGGTTTAGACCTGATGACCTTCAAAGGCACCTTCAGTTTTGATGCTCTCTGAATCTACAAGCTCACGGCCAAGTTGGGATTGGGGGACTGCTGGCCGGGAGGGCACAGGGTGGGTGAGTGGAAGCATGCAGGGCCCCCTTCCCTGCCTCACAGCCTGGAGGAGGTCCAGTCCTCACCTTTCTTATGTTTCTCCTTCAGGACAATCTTGACAGTCGTGCTGCCTGCCCCCTTTGGTCGGAAGTGGCGAGGGATGAAGCCCAGAGGGGCGCTGGGGCCGGTGGGGGCTGGGGTGCCTGGGCCTCTCTTTCTCCCACCGTCACCTGAACATGGGTCCTGAGGATGTCTCTGCAGAAGGCAGGGAGGATGAAGAACACTGGGTGAGTGTGGCAGGCCACCGCTGCTGGAGGAACAGCAAGACAGGCTGCAGCCAAGAGGCCTAGGGGTGACACCAGCATGACTTCCCAGGGAAGAAGGGGCACAAGCTGAGGACAGGGAGATCTGGAGGGGGTGTAAGATGTTTTCAGACAGTGGATCTTTGAAAACTGTCAGAGGACAGCGACTGGGAAATCCAGCTTCCCCTGAGCCCTTCTCAGGCCTCATCAGAGCCAGGGCCTTGGGGCTGGGGTGTGCAGAGGGTGCTGAGCTCTTGCTCTGGGGAATATAACTGAGCAGGGACGTGGGGAACTTAATGTTTAAGAAACAGAAGGTGGGCCTGGAGTGAGGATGCAAGTCAGGAAATTCTCCTGTGACAAGACTGAGGTGCTGGGACAACGGGCTGGGATCTGAAGGCCCCACTGGGCCCTGGAATCCCATGGGCATGGAGACTGACAGCAGGCCCCATCCAGACACAGGGGTCTCTCGGGCCCCCTTTCCTGAGTCCTTGCCCCTCCAAACCAGGCCCTGGGAGGGCTGGCAGTGACAGCAGCAGGTGTGTGCTGCGGGCAGCTCCAGGCCAGGGGAGAGGAGCCTATTTCCTCACTCACTGACGCAGTCGCTCACATCCCTTTTTCTGTAGCCCGTCCCTGCCCGGTGCAGTCTCTCAGTCAGTTCTTTGACAGCCCAGAGACCGAGCCCACAGGGGCTCCCAGGAATTGCTCGCTCAGTGGAATAGAGGCAAGAAGGAATGGAACAGCCCAGCCTCCAGTTGCAGTCACCCAGCAAATCAGTAAGTAGCAGCTCAGGCCCTGGAACTGAGCCCGAGTGGGCTTCACTTACACTCTGCCTCCTGGGGAGAGGATGGAAGGATGGGGTGGGATGGCGCTGGTCCTGGGGTACCGGCCCCCACAGAGAAGGCCCAGCCTGGGAAGGAAGGGTGAGCTGGCGGGCGAGAAGGGTTGAGGTCATGAGCTCAGACCCCTGGGGAATCTCTAGGAAGGGGACCCAGGCTGAAAGAGCAGGTGGAGTTGTTCGCACTGGACATGGCACAGAGGACGGACCGGGGACTTGCGTCAATGTGAGCCTGTTCTCCCACCTCTCTCCTCTCAGACCAGAGAGAGCTGAGCAGTTAAGTCCATCTTATCTCTAGACCAAGACTGAGAGGGGCCAAGACAGCGGTGGGGACAGACAGGTAGACCCCAGACAAAGAACCGGTACCTCGGGAACTGGATGGGAAGGCTGGCCAGTCAGAGGCCATTCCCCTGGGGGAGCATGGTCCCCAGAGGCAGCCCGAGCTAAGGAGAGACACGGGCTCTGGGTGGAACAGTGTCAGAGAACTTCCCGAGAGGGAAATGAGAAGTCTGGGACCTGTTCTTGCCCTTTGTGGTGACCTGTTTTCTCCCAGGCCACTCCTGCCCATCAGCCGAGATGCTACCCACCATGGGAAACAAGAGAGAGGGGACAGAATAAGGTGGGGGCTGATGTAGCGGACGCAGGGGAAAAATGGGCAGTGAAGATGATGACTGGTATTGCCTGCTCCAGTCGTGAAGTTTGGGGCGCTGGATGCCAGCCTCCCCTCCCCCATCCGTAACGCTATGTACTCACCACCCCACGGTGTGACTGTGCCGTGTCCTCTTCAGCTGATTTCTCACTTGCCCCCTCTGAAAACTCAAAGGGAAGCTGGGTCGGCCTCAGGCAGCGCAGCCTCGCTGGCTAGAGCCCTGAGGCCTCCACCTACAGGATCTGCCCCCCTCCCCAAGGCCTACTGCCACTTCTGCAGCCCCTGCCCACCAGTGGGTCCCTTTGCCCCAGTGGGGACTTATTCCACTTCTCATTACAGCCTCTGTTCATCCTTGTTGGGTTCATGACATCCCTACCACTGGGTTGCTGCCTCAGTTTCTACACTGACCTCCTGGTCAGCATTAGGACTGAAATGCTTGGCTGCAACAGAGCGTCTTATTTAGTCCACACTTAAAAGCCACCTCACTGAGACCCTGGGCCATACATACCCCTCAGTGGCCACCACGGTGGCCCAAAGGCCCAGAATCCTGCTTAGTTGCAGTTTCCTGGGCAGCCACTGTACCCCGCCACGCTTGAAGTCCTCCAGCCTAGAGTCACACTATACACTCCCAGGGTCCTGCCTTCCAGCCCCTCTGCTCCTCCCACGTGAACACCCTAGGACCCCCCCCCAGCCCCCATTACCCGGGGAAGCAGCACACAGAGCCCTTTGGAGCCCTGCAGCTTCCTGACGTCCTGAGTGGCTCTGGCTCCCACTGAACAGTCCTATTCAAAGCCCCAGGACACTGGAAACAGACCGTGAGAATCCACCAAGGCCAAGCTCTCAGTGAACACACAGCACACCTGAGGCCCAGAGCAGGAAGGAATTTGTGAAGTTAGCTGGAGGAACCAGGACTAAACTGGAGTCACCTGACTCCGCTCCAGTGCCCCTTCCAAGTGCCAGCAGCTGAGGGCACATCCACTGTAGAGCACTTCTCTATGTGAATGCTGCCACCTCCAGGAAGCTTTCCTTGACTACCCCAGCCCACAGGGAACAGTTCCACCACTTCATTGTCCAGAAGCTTGGTCTGCCCTTTGCTAGCCCATGTGACAGCCTCTCTGCTTCACACGAGGCTCCACCTTGATTCTGCCTGACAGACACGTTCTGAGCCTCACTGAGACCAATCCTGTGCCCAGTGCTGCCATGAGGAAGACAGGAGACGTGGTCCCTGCCTGTATAGACCACTCCCATGTGCCACTCCTGGTCTCTTGGGCTCATCTGACTGCAGGGACTTTGTCTACTTGTGAGCCCTGCAGCAGCACACTCTGCACGAGCTCCCGACGGCGGCCTCAGCTCAGCCTGACAGCGCCTCCTGTCCTTGTCCCGTGTCCCCACTTCTGACCCCGCCCCACTCCTGCCTCTGTTTCTGGGGCTGCCTAGCACCCACATGTGCATGCAAAACGGAATTAACAACCATGGGGTGAAGCTTTGACCAGTGGGCATTAGTTGGTGGCTGGTGGATACATTCTTCCCTCTTCCTCTACCACCCCTAGACGTCCTTGAGGAGCAGAGACCACTTAGGGCGTCAAGTGGAGGCCAGCTCCCAAGCACACCCTGTGTTGCTTCTCTCTCCTTCCTTGCCTCACTCCCCGTTTCCCTCACTCCTGCTCCCTGGGATTGCAATAAAAAGTAAGTGGCACATCGGCCTCTGCCACCAGCTGTCTGGGGGGCCCAGCTTAAGCCACGGCCTGGAGGAAGGAATGGTCTGCTACATGCTGGGTGTGCTCTGAGATTCCTTCTGGCTCTGACAGTCGTGGCTACGTCCATGGAGCGGAGGGGAGGGTGGGCACTGCCACATCTAGGGACAGACTCACCTTTGCAGGCCTGGCAGCAGGAGTCAGGCAGCGGGAGGGGTGCGGGGCAGCCTGGTTCAGGGCAGGTCGTGAGGCCACAGTAGATCTGGCCCTCCTGACAGACAGAGCAAACAGGCGCTGGGGGAGGAGCTCTCCTGAGGACCAGCCTTGGGGGCTAGGACAGCACCCTTCCCTGGAGGCAAATGGCCTTGAGGCCCCCCTGAGGTGGGGGACGGAGGGAGCAGCAGAGTCTCCTGGGCAAAGCCCAGCCAGCTCAGAGGAGGGGTCCCCTGGGCCCTCCCCACTCCCACTTCCAGGCCCTGCAGGTGACGTTCATCCTTAAGCTTCCAAAGCTTTGTCACACCCAGTCTCCCCCTTGGCTCTTACGGCAGCCTGGACAGGTAGGCTTCTCCCCATATTGCAGGTGATGAGCCTGGAGCAGGGCCTAGGCCACCTCAGGTTAGACGGGCAGTAGGGGGAGAATGGAAGAGAGCCCAGTCTTCAGGCTTTTCCTCCTGAAATCAACATCCTTCTCCCCTGGCTTGGCACGGTGGGCCCACCAGCAGGGTCCCCTGAGCTCACCATGCTCTTGCTAGAGGCCCCGGTCTCCCACTTCAGGATCCAGCCTCAAAAGGCAAGAGCACAAGGAGAAGGGCCTCTGTGAGTCAGGGGCCAGACCTTTGGGGAGTCGCTTCTCTTCTCTGGGCCTGAGGTTGCCCCTCTGGGAAGTGGGGGCACGCCCACCTGGGGTGTGAAGATCCCCGAGGAAATGGTCGAGAAGACCCTTTGTCAACTGTCAGGTACAATGTGCCTGGGAGGAAGTAACACTGCCCTGAGTCCCTTCACTGTTCCTCTCCCCTGAGTCTGAGAAGTGACATCTGATCCCTCAGGGGAGGGGGGAGTCAGGCCAGCCCATATACAGGGTGAGAAGAAGGAACGGGACACCCAAGTGTCCAGGGACAAGGGTCAAAGGAAGGACAAGAGTATCTCACAACCCCAACCATCATTCCCATCTCTTCCCACAGCTCCTCCTAACCCAGGCCCTGTCCCTTCACAAGAGGCAGCATGACAGACACAGGGACAAGAACATGGGCTTCGGAGTCAGCTAGTCCCGGGTCTGAATTCTGGCTCTGCCACTTACTAGCTGTGTGACCTTAGGCAAGTCAGTTAACTGCTCCGAGCCCCAGTTTCCTCATTTGAACCAGGAATAGTGATATCCTTCTCCAGGGTTATTGGGATATTGTCATAAACAAGGCATTTCTATGAACTTAGTGACACCATATACTAGACCATTGCCAGAGGCTCATGGCCTGCAAAAGGTAACTGCCTGCTAGGTTGGTTTATAAGTGGTTACTCCTCATTATTTGTGGGTTTATACTTTAAGATTCAGAGCCTCAGTGCTCGCTTTGGCAGCACATATACTAAGATTCAGAGCCTCAGACCAATGACACCCTCTCACAGGAAAGATGGGGAAGCAGGTCCAAAAGAAGTGACTTGCTCAAGGTCACTCAGGGACTCAGGCAGGGCTGGACCCTAACCACTGGTCCCCAACACCTACTCTGGAGAGAACAGCAGAGGTCACTTGGCCAGGTTCCCTTGTGCATTGGGAGGAACTGAGGCCCAGAGAAATGTGGTGACCAGGTGGTAGGAAGGAACTCAGGAGGACAGGGTTTCTCCTGCCAATCCACAGGTGAGTTGCTATACAGTTAAGAATGACATGCCAGAAAGCCTCCTGCAAACCTATAGAAGGGCCTGGAAAGGTCCCCTCCACGAGGAGGAGGGTGAAGACTTTCCAGATCAGGCCCTGCTTAGCTTCAGTCTCTGTCCCCTGATAACACTGCAGAGTCACCCTGCCTGTCCCTAGGCCCAACTCTGACCACAGGCAGGAGGAGTTTAAGTAGCTTCGGATGAAATTCCATTTGCACAGTCTGGCCCTGGCCCTGTGCCTCAGGACTGACAACTGGCCATTCACTTGTTCTTTCGACTATCATTGCAGACAGCCTCTGCGTGCCGGGCCCTGGACCAGCAACGGTGGAGGATACAGAACTAAAATGGGGTATGTGTCCTCCCTTCCAGGAATGTGGTGTCTACTGGGGGAAACAGAAAGCTCAGGAGGTGTGGAAGCTCAGAGGAGGGTGGCCTCGCCTGGCTAGGGGCAGGACATTCCAAACCCCAGATGTTCCCTTCCCCCTGAGCCCCTCATTTGCCTTGACCAGGGAACAATCGGCCCCCCATGCCACCCCAGGCCCCACCATTGAGCTCATTTCCAGCGAGGGAAGTGGAAGGCCTTACGGTGCAGCTGCAGAGGACACACTGGTTGGGCAGGCGGGAGGGGAACAGCTCATGGGCACTGAAGATCTCTCCGTGTTGGTACGTGGTCCCGTTGTGCTGGCAGGACTTTGGGGGTGCCCGGAGCCCAGAGGGTGTGTGAGGTTCTGTAGGTGGAGAGGGGCAGGAGGAAGAAGAAAATGAGGTTTCGCGTGGATTTCAACCGGGCCCCGGCCTAGGCCTTGTCAGCCATTGTCCATATCAGCTAACCAACAGGTCCTGCTGGTACCTACACCTGACCACGTCACTCTCTTGCATGTCCCCTGCCACAGCCTTTCAGCCCCTCAGTATCTGAGCCAGCCCTGGCCAGAGCCAGAAGGAAAAGCCAGAAGCCTCAGCTCCACTGAGCCCCACTCAGGTGAGGCCTGAATTGGTTCACTCAACATTGCACGGTTGTTCCTGGAGCACCTTCTGGTGCCGGGCACTGTTCTAGGTGCTGGGGACACGGCATAGGACAAAACTCTCAGGGACTACATTCTAGTGGAGCCAGCTGGAATGATCTAGACTGTCTCTCTGCTTGGGTAAACTCCTGTCCTTCACAGGCCACCAGAGCCCCCTCACCACCTGCCGGTTAGTCAGTCCTCATCCTGCTGGTTGGAGGGTAAACCTCTGGTCCTGAGAGAACCCACTCATGCATTTGAGACACCGTTTCCACGTACCCCTCCGTACCAGGCACCGTGCCGGGCGCTGGGAATGGGCTGGTGAATGAGACTCAGCCCCTGCCCTCAAGAAATGCAAAATCTCCCTGGAGAGAGAGATAAGCCTTGGGCAATGGCTCTGCCTAGAAGGGCAAGGGTGGACAGACACATGGCAGCTGTGGCCGCACCGAGGAGGAGCTGTGACCCAGTCGGGCTGTGGTCAGGGAGGGCTTCCTGCAGGGGCTAATGGCTGAGCTGCATCTTGAAGAGCAAGTGGAGGCAAACAGGTAGACAGCAGGGGATAGAAAGAGAGGAGTGATGGGCATTTGAACAAGGAGGAGCCTGGACCAGTACAGGGGTGGGGGCAGGGGAATCACAAGGTCTGCAAGGAGAGGTAAGGCCATGCAGGAGGCAGGACAAAGCTGAGAGCCTCTACTCCCCTAGGGAGCCCAGAGCCAGGAATCTCTGTGGCCCAAGTCAGAGCCACGGTCACATCCCTGCTGGGCTCCCACCTAGCAAACAAGCCCCTCTCCAGAGACTCCACACCAGCTCACTGGGAGAGCCCTGGTTCCAGAGCCCAGGGCTGAGGCCAAAATCTGAGCCTCTTCCTTCATCACCTTCTTGACTAGCATCTTCTTGATGCTTCTAGACACCAATTGTCCTCTCAACATCCCCCCCACTTCTAACTTGGCCTCCCCCCAGCTACCACGCATGGGCCACTTCATTATGCCAGAACCTCCTCTCCTCTCTCTTACCTCTACCTCCTGGAATGCCAGCCTCAGAGGCTCTTAGAATCTTAAAATCATAGAATCATAGCCATTTAGCATCAGGGCACAGAGTCCCTGAATCTCAGCCAGGACTGGGAGGAGTCTCAGAGCACATGCACCAACCCCTTCAGTCATTTCCAGCCCCAGGGTGGTCATCCTGGGGTCTCCCTGCAGGGCCTCCCAGCCCAAGGTCACTCACCTCACTTCCCAGAATGTGTCCCTCCCTCCAGCTCCTGCCAGCCCACCAGAGACTGAGGCCCAGGTGTCCCAGTTAACAGGCCCAGCAAGCCCCTGTTTCCTTCAGCTACTGCTGGGCACACCTACCCAAAAATGGGAAGGTCGCTGCTACCCCAGCACTGCGTACGTGGGGAGCCAGGATGTTTCCACCCTGAGCACCTTTGCATCTCAACACCCTGATGGGTGGGGAGGCGGCCCCTCTCCTTCCAGGGCCCTCCCTCAGCCGGGGGCCCGTTGGGAGTGAGATGGAGGTCAGTGGGCAACGGGAGGCCGGTGCGCGGGGAGGAGCAGGGCTACTTACCCACACACCTGGGACAGCACTGCTGTGGCTCCGTCACAGGCTGGGGACAATGGACAGGCGGGCAGTGGAGGCGGTAACAACTCACATGGGCGTTCTGCAGGGGACACAGGGGTCAGCCTGGTTCCAAAGAACTATTGCCTCCCGTTGTCCTCTCCCAAGACCCCCACCCGGACTGCAGACTCTGCACTTGTTTTAGTCCTATACCAATCTTGAAAACAATGAACTCAAGTGTCCCTAGCTCCTCCCCTCCCCTGGCCCACTCACCCACACCCCTCTGCCACCATGGAGCAGGGCACACCTGTTCATGGATTTGCTCAGATGTTCCTCCTTCGTGGTGTTTGAGAAATACAAGTAAAAGCCTTGAGTTATTTTGACATTGATCAAAGCTGTTTTGACTGTGCCCTTTTAACTCTGGGTATGAGCATTTGTGATCAAGAGAGGAATGTAACATGAGTGCAGGTGACCAGGTGGGGGACAAGACTAAACACTTGATGAAGATGATCCCACCCCTGAATCTGTGGTTGCACAATCCTAGAGAAAGCCCTTTGAGTTGACACCAGAGAAGGAGGGGTCCAAAGTCCTTTCTCTTTTTCAAGTTCAGCAAATGAGGGAGAATTGGGCCAAGAAACAAACACAAAGAAATGAGTAGAGACAGGAGAGATGCCACTACCCGTTCTGGAAGTTTCCCCAGCTCACCAGGCAGTATGTCAGCTGCACCTTCCCTTCCCCTCCCTTCTTGCAGGGCTCACTCCACTGCATTGTGATGACCCGTTTGCATCTATCCACCCCTGACTTCCAAAGGAATGATCAGCACAGGGCCTCTCTCCAAGTTAGTGCCTGCTCAAGTCTGAACACAGGAATGAGTGAGTGGGTCAATGAGAGTGAGGAAAAGAGGGACCATCTCCCTCTCAGATGAATGGAGCTGGCTTTGTTCAAAGTTATCTGAGTTTGTTTCCAGCTCCCTTACCCACCCGGCTCCTTCCCCGGCTCTTGGCCCACCCAAGTTCCCTGACTGCACTTCTCCCAGAGGCAGCCTCTTGCCCCATGGAAGAGCCTAGGCCAGCCCTAGCCCTTCTGGGTCACCATTTCTCAGGGTGACCAGAGGTAATTGTGAGAACTAATTGGTGCCAAAGGGCATCCCAGAGCCCACGGAATGTGTCTGAGTTCTAACAGGGGCTTTCTAGAGCCCCGGCACACGAGGCAATTAATAAACGTCTAGACAGTAAACTGAGGATGGAGTGGCAGGGACCGTGGGGTCTGAAGAGTCAGACTCTCTCCTGAGTCCGGCCATAGAGGAGCCGGGGATGGGGAAGGCCAGAAGCACGCAGCAGCAGCAGGACAGAGACGGGCTAGGGGTGGAAGTGTGAAACCCGGCATGTGGTAAAGCCCTTTGCAGCTGAACGGAGCTCTCAGGGAAGCCACAGCTTCCATTTATTGAGTGGCTACCAGGTGGGGCTTTATATCACGTATAAATAGATGGCCTCACTTCATCTTCTACACAAGCCCAGAAGTACTGTACTATTATCCACGCTTTCAAAGCGAGAAAAGAGCCCCTCTGAGAGATGAAGTTGCCTAAGATCACACAGCAAGTAAACACTGTCACCAAGGCCCATGCACTTTCCACAACACTGAGCCACCTCTGGCAGACGGGACATGGACTCATTCCGTCACTCAATACTTGCTGCATGTCTGCTGGGTGGCAGGCCCCCTTCTGAGCACTAGGGACACAGCAGTGAGTGAGACCGAGGCTTCTGCTCTCACGGAGCTTACATCCTAGCAGTGGGAGACAGCCTATAAATTAATTAAGCAAGTAGGAAGAAGACAATGTCAGGTGTTAAATTTATGATAACAATAAAACAGAGTAATGTGATTTAGCCCACAGAGGTAGACTATTTTAGAAACATCTGTCAGGGACGGCCTCATACGGAGGTTAACATTTCTGTTGTGAACTGGAGATGAGAAGGAGCCCTTCATGAGAAGATCTGGGGGAAGGACATTTCGGGTATGGGGAACATGTGGGATGGGTCTCAAGTGCTGGAAGGACTGACGAAGACCGTGTGGCTGCCCCAGAGTGAGCAGGCATGCAGTGAAGTTGGAGAATAAGGCAGAAGTCAGATCACACACAGACCCCGATAGGGATTTGAATTTTACTTTTGGTGCAATGAAAAGCTCCTGGAGGGTTTTAAGAGCAGAATGACACGAACAATTTTATGTTCAGAAAAGATCATGCTAGCTGCCGTGCAAAGGATGGATTTAGAGGGGGCACAAGGGAGAGATGAAGGTGGTGTGGATTAGGGGGAGTGGCGATGATGGAGAGGAGTGGAGGACTGAGGGCATATTTTGGAGATGCTGGCAACAGTGCTCTGAGTTGGGGAAACTGGGTGTATGTGAACTCTGCAGAAGGAGAAATGAATTAACTCCAGTGGATCCAAAAACTTGGACTTTGTCAACTGGACCACATAACATGTCTGGAATTTTCTGTTATGGTTTCCTTTCTGTTCTCCAGCTATATTTCATAAAGTTCTTTTTGAAAAGGCTGATTGGCCTCAGATGTATTCAGGAAAACTGAGGGGAAGTAGTCGTGGGGGCTGTGTCCCCAATTCTACCTGGTGCCGCCACGGTGGAAGCAGTGGGGATTCCAGAGGGAAAGAGTCAGAGTCAGGAGAGGGGCCGGCCCACCCCCTCCTGCACCCCTGGTGTCTCTTGGGGACAGCTCCTCTGCTCCCATCCCAGAGGGTTCTGCTTTAAAAAGGGAGGCTCGTAGAGGGCTTCTGCACCCCTCACGGCTCCATGCAGGGCCAGAAAGGGGATGAGGGGCTGGCTCCAGCTGGGAGCTACTACGCCTTCCTGCCAAGCACCAGCACCCAGACAAAGCACGCTGGGGGCGTCCAGACTGGGCCCCAGACAGCTCAGCCAAAGCCAAGGGTTTTTCAAGCCTCCTAAGCCACTCCCTTCTCTTCCACCCCTCCAACGTCATACCCTGCTTAAGAATTCTGGACCACATGAGGGTCTCATTTACTCTACCCAGTTGATTTTACAAGGCCCTGTGGAGGTGCTGGGTTGCTGTGGGGTGGGAGGAGATGGAGGTGAGAACAAAGGCAAACGCTCTGCGCCAGTCGGTGCAGCCTCCGGCGGGGCATCGTGCTGGGCAAGAGTGAGGGCCCAGCAAGACCTGTTCTCAGGGGCCCCGTCTAGGAGGGGCAGTCACTGGCATCCACCGGTAATTATGGCACCTGGCCAACAGTGATCAGGAGAAAGGACAGAGTAACTGATGTGGATTCCAGAAGAAGAAAATACCCCCAGGTGGAGGTCATTTGCTCATTTGGGTAAAGCCTTGAAGAATAAATATTTGGGCCAGTGGAGTTAGAAGAACACAATTCTCAGATAGAGCAGGAGGGGTGGCTGGAAGGAATGGGAGGTAAAGTCAAAAAGGCTTTGCCTTGGGCCACATAGGAGGCAGGGAGGCTGGTACTAGTACTGGGTGGAAAGAAGGCTGGGATGTCAGATAGGAGACCCGGGTCCTCATCCCAGCCCAGCCAGCCCATTGTGTGACTTATATGTGGGAGGCACCTGGTGGCCGCCTTCTCCTGTGTGTTGAGTACTCAGTGGTGAAGTGGCTAGCCCCAAGCCCCTCAGCTGCCACTGACAGCACAGTTCTAGGGGGCCTGGTTCCAGGGTGACCCTGACCTCCAGAGTTAGGCTGTCCTCCCTCCCCCTGGGGTGAATTTTCTGGAAGTTTCCAAGACATACCTGATGCATGTGGCCAGGTGGCCAGAGGCACCTACCTCAGCACAGGTGCAGCGCAGGCAGTACATCAGGCCTTGTGGCTCCAGGTAGGGGTGCCAGCTCTCACCAGGCGAGTATCTCTTCCCGTGGAAAAGGCAGAACATGTCTGGGCCTGGCAAACCAACCAGTGCCATTAGTCCCAGGAGGCTCCAGCCCAAAGGCCCTATCTCATCCCCCCTTCTTTCTAATTCTAGGTAGGATGTCATCTGGACCATTCAGGTGAAAGAGAATCTGTTGGACAGTCAAGGGGCCAGAATGTCTGAGTGTGAATCTCAGCTTGACCACAGACTTGCTGTGTGACACTAGACATGCCACTACCCCTTTCTGAGCCTTAACGATTAGCTCACAGGGCAGTTAGGGCAACAAGCAGTAAAAATGCTTTATAGATTTAAATTGTGGCATAAATGTTAGTTGTTATGATTAAATAATTAATATGAGGCCCAGAGAGGATAAATTTCAGTGCTAGGGCCACAGGACAAGTCAGCCGCCAGACACGGATGATAGCACTAGTCTCCTGACTCTTGGTCCAGTGCTCCTTTTGCCCTCATAATCACACTTGTTTCCTTCACTTTTGTCCTATGTGACTTACTTATTTAGTACATCATCACACCCTTTCTTCTCTCCCCTCCTTTCTTTCCTTTCCCATCCCTTTCTCTCTCCCACACAGACAGACAGACAGACACACACACACACACACACACACACACACACACACACACACACACACACACACACAGGTCCTCTCTGGGTCCTGTGGTCTATATTTTGAATAAAACCACTCACAGCAGCTTTGCTGCCTTCATACTGTGCTATATATCCCTGCATCTCAGTGAGCCATGATGGAAAGGTTGTTAGAAAACTGACTTTTAAGTATCTTTAAAAATGGTCATTGCCACTATGGTGGTTTGTGATTGCCATGTCAGTTGATATTTTTGTAATCTGCACATCAGTTGTCAATATGTAGACGAATGCTTCTAAGAATGACGAAGATCCACTTGTTTTGTGCAGTGGGTGAGATAGCTCTCCTGCAGTCCTGCTTTCCTGAAATCTCTCTCACCTCTCAAAGCCCAACAATCCACTCCCTGCCCACTCCCTGTGCTGTGGCCCCCAGCCCTCTGCCTCTTGCCCTGTCCCCTACCAGCCATCCTCCGTGCAGGCACCTGGTGATCTTCACAACCCAGAAGGGACGGACGCTATCATTCCTATGGGAACGCCCTTTCCTGAGCTCTTTTCAAGAGGCACTGGGAGGCCCAGCGCAAGCTAATGCCAGCAAACGTTTGCCAAATTAAATGAGGTTGAAATGGGAAGAAAGGAACCAACATTTATTGACTCTCCTCTCTGTGCAGAAGTCTTTACAAAAGTTACTTATTTCATTAACATTACTGTTTTGACAATTACATTGGAAAATGCTTGTAAAGTGCTGACTCCAGTTCATGACACTTAGTAGGGTGCCATTATTATGATAATTATGATAACAATGACAAAGACACTGCAGAATGGATAATTATCATCTATTCCAGAAGATGATGATGTCCATCTTGCAGTGTCTTTGCCATCATTACCATAATTATGAGAAAACTAAGGCTCATAGAGACTAAGTGATTTGCCTGAAGCCCTCCAGCTAGTGATTTCAACCCAGGACTCCTGGCTCCAGAGCAGTACATCTGGATAGGTTTCACCTTATCCTCCATGGCTTTTTACCCAATCCCAGGGCCTAAAGACTCAGCAACCTTCTCTCTCTGTCCCACTGGCCACCATCCCCCATGCCCTGTTTCTTTCTCCTAGACCTCTATTGGTCTAGAATCTAGAAGTTGCCTTTCATGCCTCCTTCCTGCTTTCTAGAATCCAGCATCTTGGAAACATGGGCTCTCATAATTCCTCAACCACATTCTCTTAGACTTTTAAACTCACAGAATCGTAGAGCACTGAAAGCAGAACACTAGTTGGGTGGGAGAGGGTTCACACACTGAGGAATTCCCCCTCAGCCCTGGGGGGGGGGAGCAGGCCCCTGGCACACGTCTCCAGGGAACAGGAGCTCCTGGGCCATTCCTGACCTTAGAAAGTTTTCTTTGTAAAAAGCTGAAATTCAGTTTCCCTCTGGCTCCCTTGCCACTCCTGTTCTGCCCTCTTGGGCCTTTTAGGACAAAGATTTGAGGCTGCCTGATGCCTTCAGTCTGTGTGTCCAGGGTTGCTGAGGGCCCAAGGAACACATGGCTTAGTTCCCTCCCCATCCCCTTCCCAGCCCCTGGAAGTGGAGGAATGATCAGTTTGTCTCTCACATTCCCCAGCAAGTCAGCAAGGCCTGCTGGCCCGGCTGGCCCATATCAAATGAGCTGTGTTTATCTCTCAGCCTCCACTGGCAGAGAGGGTGGGACACAGGCCCAGCTGGGGTGCTGGTCAGAGCCAGCCCAACTCTCCAAGGAGTGAATAATGTCTTTCTTCCTCAGTCTCCTCCCCTGACCAGGGCGGGGGAGATTGCAACACTGCCACCACCTTAGGTCTAAGCCTGTTGCTGAAGAAACCTTGTCCTACCTTCCTTGGGGTGGCCCTGTAGCCCTGGCCCTTGTGCCAACTGGCAGCACCTCCACCTCACCGCCTGCTCAGAGCATGAAGACAGAAAAGATGTCTCAGCCAATGCCCAGACCAGAAAACCCCTTCCCTCCACCACTAGATCTGGCAGAGGCTGAGAATGTGGGGGGCCTGGCAGGAGGCCCCCTGTGCCCACAGTTCCCACCCCACCACACCCTCTAAGGTAAGAGGCACAAGGAAGGGTGGCATTGCCTGGAGCTCTCTTTTCTTCTGGGAGGTGAGTGCCCAAGGCCATGCCAAAACCAGCAGGAGGAAGACTTGCCAGGCGGCAGGGCCCTGGCGCTAGCCCCAATCCTTGTACAAGGCTCATGGAAAGAGTTCTAGCTCCTTAAGCCGCAAGTTCACTGTGTGATGTTCAGGAAGACTCCTTCTTCCCTTTTCTGAGCCTCAGTTTCCCATCTGCAAAATAAGGGGAGTGGAGTAAACTATGATCTTTAAAGATTTTCTGCATAGATAGTTTATGAATCCACAATTTCAAGATTCTAAGACTCTAAAGATCTGGGTTTCTAAGAGTCAAAATTTGAGAATTCCATGTTTCTAAAAACCTACAATTCACAGAACACAAAGCTTCCAGAATTGTACCATGTTATGGTTCTGAGACTGGATCATTCCAAAATTCTAGTAGTCTTGGATGTGCTGATGGTCCCAATACATGCCAGGCTCTCAGGGGCTCCAAGGTAGATTGGGATGAGGTTCAGGGCACCAGTGGGGCCAATCCCGAATGACATAGTAAAGGAGGCAAAGTTTGTCTCTCACATCTCCCTCCTTTCCCACCCACTCCCTTTGGGCCCCTGTGGCCTTCCCACTCCTCCCCCGGCCCTGGGCCTGCCCTGCTTTCTCTCCCACACACCACCACTTCTCCTGCCGCTCTCCGCTTGGGGGCCAAGTGCGCCTTCTCTCAGGGTCCTTCTGCAGTCGGACAGGCTGGGGTCCAAATCATGGATTTGGTGTTTATTTTCGCTCTGAGTTTAGAGAAGTTACTTAACCATTCCAGGCCTCTGTTTCTATACCTATTAAATGGAACTAGTAATAATCTTTACCTTACAGGGGTTTTGTAGAATTAAATCAGATGTCATTCGCCTAATGCCTGATATATAATAGATGCTCAATAAACTAGTAGGTTAGAACAAAGGGCACTGACCCCAAACTTCCTTAACAGTCTGTTTCTCATGGTAGTTCTTTGATTCCCAGAACTCTATGTGGCAGCCTCCAGGCACCTTTTATGGCATGAACATCACAGCACCCACCGAGACCAAATCTCCTGTGTCTCTCAACCCTATTTCCCATGGCCCCCTGCACTCTTCCAGCTCCACTCACAAGCCAGGCCAGTCTTCCTCAATGTCACCTCCTGGCCATACGGACCTTGGGTTGGGATATAGAGATCAAAGTGGCTCAGGAGGTTGGAGGAGAGAATGGGAAGGCAGGAGTGAGAGGCAGAGGGCCATGGAGGGCCTGCAGAGCCCCTAGGGCAAAGGAAAGCCATGGAAAAGCTATAAACTGGGGAGTAAGTGATCAGGTCGGCATTTCAGAATCATCACTGTGGCCATACAGAGGAATGGAGACTGATTGGAGGGCAGGACTGGAGGAGAGAGACCAACGAGAGGCTGTTGCAGTCGTCCTGCTTAGAGGTAATGCTGGGCCTGGACCAATGTCCTGGACCAAGATGGAAGCAGCACCTGTGAGCCAAAGTACAGATCTGAGGGACTCTCAATAGGTACAGTGGGCATGCTCTGGGACAGACAGGACAGTGGGTGGAGAGGGTGAAGGAGCAGCCAAGGATGGGCTTGAGGTTTGGGACCTGACCGTGTGTATTTATAGATGAATTGGGGCACGTGGCACAATAGGCAGCAAATGTCCTTATTAGTAATACAGTGGTCCCCACTTATCCATGGGGGTAAGTGCTAAGTCCCCCAGGGGATGCCTGAAACTGCTACCAAGCCCTGTATAGACTATGCATGAATTTCTTTTTCCTTTTTTACAGTTTCACAGATAAAAGACTCATTCTTTCTGTAGATCTTAGCAATCTCAGCATATGGGTTTTTTTCCTTCCTTAAGTTGAGAACTTTCACTTTTTCACTTAAGGAGGCACTTCACGACTTTTCTTCAACAGACCTGAATTGCCAACATCACTCCCCTTGTGCAGTGGGGCCATTATGAGTAAAATAAGGTTCCTGGAACACAAGCACTGCGACCCCATAACAGTCGATCTGATAACCTAGACGGATGCTCTCTAAGTGACTGACTAACGGGCTGGTACCAGACCCAGCGTGGAGATGCTGGACAAAGGGATGATTCACGTCCTAGCAGGACAGAGTGGGATGGTGAGAGATTTCATCACCCTACTCAGAATGGCATGCAATTTAAAACTTATGAATTCTTTATTTCTGGAATTCCCCATTTAATATTTTTGGATTGAGGTTATCCACGAGTAACTGAGACCAAGGAAAGCAAAACTACAGATACGGAGGGGACTGCTCGAGTAATATTACTTCCCATTACTCATGCATTTATTGAGCTTTTTGTCTCTCACGTACTATATATCTTTGGGCTTGGGACGTGACTTAAGACACAGTCCCTGCCCTCAAGGAGCCCACAACCTAATGAAGGAGACAGACAGATATAACACAAGTAGTTTGACAAATGCTGTGACAATGTGAGCACAGAGTCTTCAGGGGAGGCTTCTCTGACAAGGTGCTGAGCTGGATCTTGGCGGTGTTAACAAGGTACAAGAGGGGAAGGGCTTCTTAGGCAGCAGGAGCTACCTGCAAAGGCACAGAAGTGGGAGTGGACGTGGTTCAGGCCAGACACTGAGGTGGCTGTGGTGTGCTGCACGCTAACTCTTCTTCAAAAGCCAGCTGAGATGCCACCCTTTATGTGAAGCTGCCCCAACCTTCCAAGCCACTGGCCTCTCCTGCAGAACTGAGTTTAGTTCTCTGTGACAAGTCTCATCACAATGGATTAGAAGTACTTATTAAGTGGGCTTTTCTTTTCTTTTTTGAAATAGAGTCTTACTCTGCTGCCTAGGCTAGAGTGCCATGGCATCAGCCTAGCTCACAGCAACCTCAAACCCCTGGGCTCACGTGATCCTCCTGCCTCAGCCTCTCAAGTAGCTGGGACTACAGACATGCCTGGGTAAGTTTTGTCTACTTTTAATAGAGATGGGGTCTTGCTCTTGCTCTGGCTGGTCTTGAACTCCTGAGCTTAGTCAATCCTCCCACCTCGGCCTCCCAGAGTGCTAGGGTTACAGGCATGAGCCACCGCACCCAGCCTAATTTTTATGTTTTCAACATGCTCCCAAGAAAAGTGAAGATATCATTAAATTTTATGCTCAGTGCACAGGCTACATAGAGTTGTTGCCTGATAAATGAAATGGACAATGAAAGAATGGAGTTAACAGAGAGGGGGAGGTTTTGGATCCTTAATCCTAGAAACCTCTTTCTTTAACAAAAAGAGAATTCAATTATATGAAAGGAGAGCCAAATACCTTGCCACCCAACAGGAGTTAGTTTTTCTCTTTGACCTCCCCTTTCCAGCTCCCTGCCCTGTGAACTCTCAAACCACCTGCCAAACCAAATAACACCATATACAAAAAGGTCAGGAGCCTGGGGCAACTAAGGGGATGAGCGATTCCATAGTCTTCAAAATTCCCAAACTGGTCCCATCTAACTTCATTTCACAGTCTGACTTGAAACTCTCATGCTCTGATAGAAGTCTTGTCAGGGATCAGGTAGGAGCGGGCAGTGTGGTCGGGAATTCTCTCAATAGGAAGCAGAAAAGACAACCAGAAAGAAGCTTCTGGGCTTGGAGGGCAGCCTGGATAAGGCCATGAAAGTGGCAGCAGGAGGGGCTGGCATGAGAGGAGAGAGGTCGGGAATTGTGGCTGGCAGGTCCCCAGCCAGCAAGAACTCAGGAAAGCTAAGCGAGCCAGGCTGCTCAGGAATGTGAAAATGTTTACATCTCTTCCCTCACGCCCACACAGCCATACTTTATTTATTTATAGTCCCCTCTTCACACAAACAAACTTGAGACATAAGCTTTGCTCTGGACTCTGGCACCCGATGGGGGAGGCCTCTTAAGGGAATCAGAAGAGAAACCTCAGCTCCTCAGTGGTGGTGCTGTGCAACCTTAGGAGAGGGACTGCACTTCTCTGAACCTGACTTTTTCCTCTGGCACATGACAGGTGTTCAGGAGCGTAGAAGGGCCTCAAGGGAGAGAACTGTCAAACCAGGACAGGCAGCTCTGTTACCTGTGAAGGGGCAGGGAGCTTGAATGGGACCGTTTATATTCTATTCTGCCTTGGAGATACACACTTAGATTCTTAGAATCTTAGGAAGTTAGAGACTCAGAGATGACTTCCAGTCCTCTCATTTTACAGATGTGGGAACTGAGAGAAGGATTGGGACTTGCCTAAGATCATTGGTTCATGCCAGCACAAAGTCCAATGCCAGTCTTCAGATCTGGAGAGGATGCTTATAGGGACACCCATTCCCCTGAGGGACAGGACTAAAAGAAATGGCTTCAACTTGCAAACAAAAGGATTCAGGTGAGACAGAAGGAGGAACTCCTGAGTACATGAACGAGTAACAGAATAAGGCTGTGGAACAGCCTTCTCTGGGATGGGGCCCTGCCCAGAGGCAAGGGGATGCCTGAAATGATCTCTGTACTACACCTCCCAGGGGCATCACTCTCATAAAAGTCCTTTTCTTCAGGAGTCGAAAGGATTCATGGTCTTTCTCCCAGAGCCCAGCGCCCTGGTCAGTGGCTGAGGGAACTTGAGAGGCCAGTTCTGGAACAGGTGCAACAGCTGGAGCAGTTGTGCAGCTGTTGTTGCCGGGCTCCGGCTCAGCAGCCTGCAGACCAGTGAGTGAAGCAGAGACCTCTACTGGTGGGAGAGCAGAGGTGCAGGACGGCCTAGTCAGATGCAGAGCGGGGCCCATCTGGAGCTGGACTTCAGGCCTTCACTCAGGTGCCTGCCACCGCCTCACGCACATCTGGACAGATGAATGGGGCTGTGACTAAGCTGCATGGCACAGCAAAGTCCCTACTGGTGGGTCTCCCACTACACCCACTGCCCCAGGAGCTCCAGGCCCCTTTTCCTGGTGTCTGAGGGTCTATCTGTCCACTCTCCCTGGCAGGGCAAGAGTACCTACACTGCCCCAGCTGCCTTTTACAAAGGTCATAGTGGACTCAGAATCAAGGCAACAACATCTCTGGATCCTAGAGACTTAGAATCACGGGCTGTTAAAGCTAGAATGGTCCTCAATGATTGTCCATTTGAGTCCAACATCTCACTTACAGGTGGGAAAACTGAGAGACAAAGACAACTTGTCCAGTGTCACAGTGGCAGTGCCCAGGCCAGTGCCCTGACTTTCTGAGTCCAAGCTTGCCCTCAGCACATCATGCCATGGGGAGCTCCCTTCCTGCCCCACACCTACTTCTAGGATCTGGGATTCCATCACCTGGGAACAAAAGCTTCAATTCCCACCATACACAAAATCCCTTGAAGAAAGAATAGAGGGATGGATGTTTTTACTTGCTGACTCTCTTCTGAAAGCAGGGTTGGATGGAGGGAGGGAAGAGAAAGCAGAAGCATGCTGGACATCTAAAACGGACAACTAGTAAGGGAGAACCACAAAGGAGGGGGGCAGGGAAAGAACACTGGAGAGGGAGTCAAGAAACTAGTCAGCTTCTCGCTCCACAGAGGGGAGGAGTGTCCAGAGTGACCAACATCACACATGCCTGTGGCTCAGCCTGGGACTGGGACTAGTACCAGTCGGTAAGCAGGGACCCAGCCTAGGGAAGGAATCTAGCCTGGGCATGGAATTGAGGTTCAATCTGTGGTCAGGATTGGAGGATTTAGGGCTCAGCTTGTGGCTGGAGTTGAAACTCAGTCTGGATTGGGATGGGGCTCAATCTATGGCTGGAAATAGAGCCAAAGATAGAGTATGTTTTGTTTGAATAAGTTTGTACTTCATCTGAGGAGTGCAGGGCTTGGCCACCTCCGGAGCCTGACACCACACAGACTTGAGAATTTCCATCTGTTGGCACCACTTCTGAAAGCACCTTAGATGTCACCAGGAGATTTCTTACCTTCATAGGCTTGAGATCTCTTTTAAACTAAGATGAGGACTTTCATAAGAGACATTCAAATAGCATCCTGGCAAATAACTACGGTATTGTTTCTAGATTCGTAGATTGTCAGCACTAGATAAAGTGAATCTCAGAGAAGGGAAGTGATGTATTCCAATTCACACAGCCAGTAAGTGACAGATCAGGGACTAGGATCTAGGTCACTGTCTTTTCTTTAATACATTTGTTGTGTGACCTTGAGCAAGTCACTCCTTTCTGGACTTCAGTTTTAACTTTAAGGATAGGTGAATTGATGGGTAGAGGCAGATGATTTTCAAAGGCTCTTTCAGCTCTGACATCCTAGAATCTTAACATTCCCCACTGAATGCCAGTCCACCTCACTATAACTCAAGTTGGCTCCAAGTCTTTTTCTCACATGTCTGGAGCTCTCTATTTACGAGACTATAGGGAAGATGGAATACTGGCAGGACCTAGTGAGAGGTACAGAGCTGAAGGCCAGTGGAGGCACGGAGAAGGGGAGATCAGAGTGGATCATGTCACCAGGGAGAGTTAGCTGGAAGAGATATGACCTAAGCAAGGCCCTGAGGGGCTGACAAGGTATGACAGGGAAAGAGGAGGGGTGTGGATAGGACACGAGCAATCCTGCACAATGGTCTGGTTCTAGGACACCTTTCCAAGATGCATCAAGAGCACGGAGATCTGGAGAAAAGCCCTGGAGGCTAAGAACAAGGTGCCAAGGGGAAGGGAGGCAGGCATGGAGGGCATTCTATGCAAAGTCTCTTTAAAGAAACAGCAGGCAGGTATTAAAAGGAAACCCCTAGGGTTCAAGGAGAGGGAGGAGACATCTACTGAGTAGTTGGCATTGTTCTGGCACTTTTTGTGCTGGGCACTTTAACACATTACCTCCTTTGACTCTCCCAGGAACCCTTCAGGTTCGGAGTTAGTATCTCTCTTAGACAGATGAAGACATTGGAGCTCAGAGAAGTTATGACTTATACAAAGTCACACAGCTATATGGGGCAGAGCCAGAACTTGAACCCAACCCTGAGCTCTTTCCATTACTTGTTCCTAAGGACTTCTATGAGTCCGTGCTGCTAGAGGGCCACAGACACGCAGCCTGCTCTCGCCAGCAGACAAGACAGACAAAATCCAGTACTACCAGCTCCAGAAAGTCACGTGCAAAAGAAGCACGGATGGAGAAGCTGAGCTGTGGAGAGGAAAGAGCACCAGGCTGGGAGTTGGGAAACTGGAGTTTTAACACAGGCTCTGCCCTGTATGACCTGGAGCAAGCCACTGCCCCTCCTTGGCCTCAGTTTCCTTATCGGGCATTTAAGGGTTTGAACCAAGCTCCTTCCTTCTCATTAAGAGAATCTTTGGTTTGGGTTCCCATCCTTACAGCATTCCAAGAGATTGGCAGGGGATAGGATGATCACGAGCCTATTGTGGGGGCAGTGAGGAAACTGAGGTTCAGAGAGATCATATAACCTCTTTGAGGTTATACTGTGTCTCAGTGGAAAAGCATGAATTAAGGAACTGATATTTTTTGAGAAGCAACCATGTACCAGATTTGTGCTCAATGCTTTACCTATTTTCTCTAATTTAATCTTATCAAAAGTCCTAGTACTTTTACTTCCATTTTATAGATTAAGAAATTGAGGATCAGAGAAGTGCTGTCCATGTCTGCCTCCCATGAGCTTGTGTCATTCGGGCTAAGAGGATGAAGAGCCCGTTCTAGCTCACTGAGCCCTCCCAGAGACTCACGCCACCAACTCAGCATTCCTTCCCAACACCATGGGGCAGTGGGCAAACCGTAGGATTTGGAATTAGAGGGTCTGGCTTTAGATGGCCAAAATTTACAGAGTTCTAGCTCTAGTTCCTTCTCCTTGCTCAGCCTAAGTTTTCTCAACTATAAATGCAAATGATAATACCCACCTCATTGGAGTGTCATGAGCATCAAAAGAAATAAAAGAATGGGAAGGTTATCCTACTTAGCTCCTTTCTTTCCAAGGGCTCTTTCCAAATGCAAAAGCCTTTTCTTGTACAGCACACCCCTTACCTGCAGCCAAACAGATGACTCTCTACTAGAAATAGGAAGCCCCCACACACACCTCAAAGCACAGTGCCCTGCCCCCCTTCCGCTGCCCTCAGCACCCCCATCCTCAGGTCCACGCGGCAGCAGCCCCGTCAGCTCTGAGTCTTGCCAAGTTCTCCCCCGACCTCTGGAACTCACCAGTCCATACAGGTCCGCAGAGTCCTCTCCACCCCTCCTGGCACAGGTGCTGCCTGGACGGCTGTCACAACAGTCTAGGGTCCCAAGTCCGGGCACTTTCCCCGCACATCCCAGGGGCCCGCATACCTCCTCTGCCCGCCCACCCTGCCCCTTGACTTACGGGCTCGAGCGTGGGAGTCCAAAGGGAACCAGAGCAGCGCGAGTCCCAGCAAGGAGGCGAGGACGCTCACCTCAGGAACCATCCTTCCTTTCCCCAGGGTCAGGCCGCTGGGCGCCGAGCCGGGAGGGGAGGCGGGAGTCAGTGAGACGAAAAGGACACTGAGGCACAGGGGCACCAATCAGTCCGCAGCCCCAGGGAGGGCTGCTGCTGGAGGAGAGTCAGGGAAGGGTCGAGAAGAAGCCGAAGCCGGCGAGGAGAAAACAGAGGACAGAGAGGGAGATCTAAAGTGGGAATAAGAGAAAGGTGGAACGAGAGCAAGGAGGACAGGAGGGAGAGAGATGGAGAGACGGAGGAAGGGTCCGCCGAGAGGGAAAAGCAGTCAAAGAAAGGGAGAAGGTGAGAGGGAGCGGGGGAGAAGAAAGAAGGGGGAGGACGGGGTCTGCAGAGCGCGCAGCGCCGGGCGAGGCGCGCGGGGCCGGCGGGTGCTCCGGGCGCGTGGGCTCGAGGCCGCGGGCGCCCCCTGCGCGGTGGCTGGCTCGCGCCGCGGGGCCTGGGGCCGGCGGGCGGCGTACCGGCGCGGCGGGCGCTGCGGCCGTGGGGGGAGGCTGAGCGCGGGCCGGCTGTGCACGCCAAGGGCGCCAGGCGCCGCGCTCGGGCGCATTTGTACTTTGCCGCGGGAAGCAGGCAGCCCGGCCTGGCGCTGGCCTAGCACTGGCGCCTCTCTCGGGCACCGCGGGCTCGGTGGATTGGCCACCCCGAGAACAGGCCCACTTTTCCCCCTCTCTTTCGTGCCGGTCTCGGGGACGGACGCTCCAGGCGCGGCGCCGAGTGGAGGCGAGGGAGCTGGGGAGGGGAAAGGGCCACCCGGACACCGGGTTTTAACCCATGACTCCCCGCGACGCCCAGAGTGCTGGAAGGTAGAGCCTGAGTTAGATTTCAGGTGGGGAAGGATGAGCCATCAGGGTAAGGGTGGGGAAGTGGGCAGCGGGAACTGGAAAGCTCAGGTTAGGGTGCTCTGTCTTATGTGCCCAGAACTGAGCATATGGATGGAATTAGGACGCTT